ATATTGTCAGGAGGGACCAGTTGCTGGAGAAGGATATCATGTTTGGTAAGGCGGAGGGTCAGAGAAAAAGAGGAAGACCCCCAATGAGATGGACTGGCCAAGTGGCAGCATCGATGGACTCAAGCGTGGCAACAGTAGTGAGGTTGGCCCAGGATTGGGCAGTGTTTCATTCTGCTGTACATAAGGTCACTATGGGTCGGTACCAACTCGATGTCACCTAACAACAACAACAAGTCTTTACAAGAGTAAAAAGCCTCATCTTTCTCCTGTGGAATGGCTGGTAGTTTCGAACTGCTGATCTTGAGGTTAGCAGCCTGATTCATAACCAGAGCTCCATGTGAATGTTGGACAATGAATAAAGAAGAATGTAGAAGAATTGATGCATTTGAGTTATGATGTTGAAGAATTATATTAAAATTACCATGAACTGCCAAAAGAACAAACAAATTGCATTGGAAGAATTACAGTCAGAATGTTCCTTAGAAGCCAGGATGGCCAGACTTTGTCTCTCATACTTTGGACATATTGTCAGGAGGGACCAATCCCTGAAAAAGGGTACCATGTTTGGTAAAGTGGAGGGTCACAGAAAAAGAGGAACCCCCAAGTAGGTAGATTGGCACATTGGCAGCAGCAGTGAACTCAAGGGTAGCAACTATTATGACGATCAGCAGGATGAACAGAGTTTCTGTTGAGTCTAGGGTCACTATAAGTAGGCAATGCCTTGCTGGCACTGAAAAACTGTCTTTTGTTTGGTTTTTATAATTTCTTAAATGTTATTTTGGTTTCTTTTACCAACCAGGAAAGTAGTGATCTCTAGAGGTGATCCAAGTTGCAGGTTTGGTATCATTGATAACTGCTGAGTTCATTTTCAAATTTGGTTTGATTCCCCAATACCATTCTACTAGGATGAGCGTGTGTTAAGCCAATGTAACAAGTATGGCTTTAGTTTATGGGAGTATAATTATCCCTACATATAAATAAATAGAATGGATACTTTGGTTTAAATCTTGGTAATCTAAGTTTACTTAGAAAAAGTGTACTAGGACATATTCCATACTGGGTGACCCATGTCATTGAAAACAGTCAATAGACTTATTATTTGAAAGCTCATAATTGGTCTATATTTACTTACAGGGAGTCTATAGGAGATATCTTCAGGGAAATAATTCATCTGAGAGTAGCGTTTTGTTTGGCAATATTGTAAAACCTCTGGCGGAAACTGGATTACAAATCTCAAAAAGGTAAGCAAAACATATTTCTCAGCTAGCTCAAATTAAAACCTTTGTTGTACTTGCAATAGGTGTGTGAAATTTACAAGCTTCTGGAGGATAGAAATTCTTTTTATTGCCCACATTACCATTACTTTTGCCAACACTACTTGTGCTGTAAAATTCTTATATACTAAAAATAAACTCACATATTTTTAAAAGTCCCCATATTCATAATGAAAGTTATTTTTAGGCCAACTTGAAAGTATGACCTTTTAATGATATATAAAATTGTCAAATGATTACTTATTTGTTAATTACACATACCTATTTAAAACCGTTGAGTGCAGTTCAGTAGTCCAGTGATTTCTGTATAGGGTTTCTGAGCTGTGGCTGATGGGGTTTGAACAACCAACCTTAGGATTGGCAGTTTAGTGCTTATCATACAGCACCACATCAGGACTCCTATTTAAAATGAGACATTAAATAAAAGGATTAATTAATTTGAAAAATATTGCTCTCTTCTCCAGTTATGCTTCATGAAATTTTATTCAGACATTTCGTAAGTACACAAAATGGCACCAGACCATCCGTCCCACAACACACTCTAGTTCTCCTCTGGGTTCTGTAATTCACTGCAGTGGCCACACAGAACTCAGACACCATACTTAGAGTTACAGGATTTATTAGGGGAATTGTTAAGTGCTATTGACTCGGTTCTGACTCATAACAAACCCATATAAGGCTTCCAAAGAGCGGCTGGTGAGTGTGAACCATCAGAGAAGTTAACAGGTTATAATTTAGGATTAATAACTTCAGAGCACAGGTATTTCAGTCAGGCCAACCTCTCCTCAGCCATGCCCACAGGCAGGCCTCTCTCTCTGACCTACTCTAGCAATATTAATTACAAAGTTTTTAGGATGCTGATAAATGCCCACAGGACACACTGCACCAAAATAATCTCAGTCTGAATGCCCTTGGCTGTAGCTCCATGGGTCAGAAAATCTAGTTTCTCCACTAAGTACCTGAAGTCACCCCACCCTGCAAGCAAGCCTCCTGCCCCAAATCACTCATTTTTTCTTGCCCTGTGGGCTGGGAAGCCCCCTGCTCTACCTGGTATTCTGGCTCTTTGTTCTGCTGCTATTGCTCTTCTGCCACTCCTCTGATGTCATAAATTTCTGTCCCTGGGTTGAGGTGGTTGGATGAGCAGGGATTTCAGTTTCCAAAGGATGAGCTCCCCTCTTAGCCCTTTTTCCGTGATGATAGTGAGATTCCCCTCCTGCTTCTAACATGGGTCATCCTATACCCATGTTAGAATTCCAAGTTTTTATAATCACAATGAACTCTGTTAACCAATCATTCACAACTGAATCATATTATCTTATCAGTCTCTTCTCCCGCCTCTTCAAAAACTCAACAGAGAAAGAGCAGTTTGGTGGGAGTTGCAAAGACTAAAGCTGGAAGAGATGTATTAAATAATTCACTACACCACAATAAGAATCTTTGACATCAAGGTCTCTATCAGTGGAGCAAGGCATCTAACGCACTCTGCCCATGTCACTTCTGTGCAAGTGTGATATACAGCAAGTGTGCAAGTGTGAGTGCATGTATGTATGCTGCTGTCCCCAGAAATCCTGCCCGTAGCATAGCCTCAGCGTTGTGGCAGCACGAGTCAGAAAGAGCTCAACTCAGAAAACTTCAAGAGCAAAGGTTACTGCCGGAGGTCAGAGTGTCAGCTCAAGCCCAAATCATTCCGACCCCGAAGTGAGGAGGGGAACAGGGTTTTATACAAGAAACACAGAGCATTTAAAACACACAGATTTGTCTTGTCAGCTGGGGTGGTAAATTCCAGCAGACCCTTATCCTGTAAATGGGAGTAAACCCACCAATAAACCCTTATCTTGGTTGTATGGGATGTGCTAAGTTTTATCCTGTTTGTTCAGGTGTCCTTGGGTCATTCTGGCCTTCAAGGTTTTTCTGTAAGAAGTCTGTTTATGATTTTTCCATAGGGTGAGGTTGGGGGAAAGGGGAACAGGGTGAACTATGCTATAATATTTCAAATGGGGTCTGTTAATTATACTATAACATTTCAAATGGGATTGTTAGTTATACTATAAATTTCAAATGGGGGCTGTTAATTATACTATAACACCAGAACTGTCCTTTTTACAGTTTATCAGACAGATGGATCTTTGTGATCACATTACCATCCACTGTGTGGCACTTAATAATGATGAATAAAAGATTTTCTTAATAATGACATGCAGCAGTTGTATTTCTGAGATCTATACCAAGGAGTCCTGGTGTGGCATTGTAGGATAAGCACTGGACTAAAATATGGTTTTAACTTCAAGCTGCTCCTCAGAACCCCTATACAGGGATGCTATGAGTTAGAACTGACTCAACAGAACTTAACAACAAATACCAAGGAATAAGGAGCTCTGGTGGTGTAGAGGTTCATGTGTTGAGCTGCTAACCCTAAGGTCAGCAGTTCAAATCCACCAGCTGCTCTGCAGGAGAAAGATGAGGCTTTTTGCTCCTGTCAAGATTTACAGCCTTAGGAACCCTATAGAGGGTTGTTATGAGTTGGAGCCAACTCCATGGCACACCACCATCCTAAAGAATAATTATTAAATTTGTATGCAATTCTTTTGCTTCCTTTTTCAGAGATTCAGACAGGTGGCTTCAATAAAGATTCAAACACATTGATTGAGGCCAGGCCACGGTCATATGTTTTTCCAAATCATACTTTAAGAATTAAAGTTTAATTAACAGGATTCTGTCTGCATTCACCCCATAACAGAGATCAAAAGAAAACAAACTATAGCAACTCGTTGGGAGGCAATTGAGGGTTGGTGAGGTGGAGAGACGTCTCATTATATTCAGAAATACGTAATCATGTTTTTTGGACGTGTTTGCCTCTTTTTTTTTTGTAAAGAAATTTTAGTACTGCACTGCCACAGATTGATGCGACTGGACAATTGTTTGTACAGACCAGGAGAGGCCGGGAAGTTCTAAGTAGGGTGAAGCATTTCATGAAACAACATGTCCTTCCAGCTGAAAAAGTAAGTCTTTTTACAAAAGGACTGTTGATGACTTACTTCTGTTATTTCTGCTTCTAAGAATACTATTATAGTAGTGATTTGTTTCTGAAGAATCAGCATGAGGCTGGTCTCTATGAGGTGGTGGTTAAAGACATTCCAAATATCGGGCTGTGAAGAGAAAGGGAACACCAAACCATCCCTCCAACAGCACTCTCTACTCAGCTGGGTTTGAAAGTTCATTGCTGTGGCCATACAGAACTCAGACACCATCCTCACAGTTATGGGATTTATTATGGAAGTTCACTGGTTATAGTCAGGGTCTGAAATGTTCAGGCCACAGTTCTTCCAGTCAGGAACAACCTCTCCTCAGCCATGCTCACAGGCAGACCACTTTTCCTAGGTAGCGTTACAAAGCTCTTCTGGAGCTGCCGATAAATGCTCACAGGGTATGCCACTACAGTATAGCCTCAACCTAAAACCATTTAGTTCTAACTCACAGGTCAATAAACCTACCTCCCCCAATTAAATACCTGGAGGCACCCTGCTCTGCAAGCAAGTTTTCTGCCCAGAGCCACTCAGGTTTACTTGCTCTGTGGGCTGGGAAGCCTACGGCTCTGTCTGGTGCTCTGGTTCTTGGTCCTGCTGCTGCTGTTCCTCTGCCCCTCCTCCAGTGTTACAGCTCTTTCCCTGGGTTGAGGAGGTTCAATGTAAGGAATCTACAGTCCAAGGGATGAACTCCACTGACAGCTCTTTTTTGATCATAGTGAGATCCCCTCCTCCAACTTCTGAGATGGCTCATTTTATACACAGTAAAGTTCCAAGTTTTTAGACATAATAAACTCTCCTAAACACTTACAACTGAATCATCAGTTTTTTTACAATTATAATTAACCCTGTTAACAGTCCATATAACCATGATGCATAATCCTATCAGCATACTCTCCACTTTCTCTTACCCAGACCTCTCAGGACAAAGTCATTGGGAGTTACAAAGACATGGCTTAGAAGACATGTATTTAATAATTCACAGCATGGCAGTGATGGTATCGTGATCTTGTAGCCAGCTGTCTTTTGGATTCCCCTCTTTGCCCAACACTAGGAGTCGCTGGGAGGTACAAATTGTTGCTCAGCTGCCAAGTGACAAGTTGGAGGTTTCATTCCATCCAGATATGCCTCAGAATAAAGATCTGGCAATGTACTTCTGAAAACTCAGTCATTGAAAACCCTATGGAGTCAGAATGGACTCAACAGCAACTGTTTTGCCCTAGCATTGAGCTCCTACAGAATCTGATCTAGAAAAATTCCGAGCTTTTAAAAAATGCCAAGGGAAGCCACAGATAAATCTGTGAAAAGAAAATGATGCCATAGGGGATTAGTTGTTTGCAAAGCTGCCATATATATATGTTAATTTAGGATCTCAACCTTACAAACAACTAATCCCCTTTGACTTAATTTTATGTATATATTATGGATGCCGTTGAGAATTAAATAAGAACTGTAGAATTTTATATATTATTTCAAGATGTTCATAGATTTTATGACCTCTTTCCTCCAGAAGATACTATTTTACAGTGTTAAGTTTAAGTTCGTTAGTTATAGAGAGGCAACATAGTAGGATGAGCACTGGACTGCTAATCCTAGGGCGGTGATTCAAACCCACCAGCCTCCCCTCAAACCCTATACAGGGTTGCTATGAGTCGGAACTGACTGCATGGCACTTAACAACCACCACCTACAAAATGGGTTAAGAGCTCTGGTAACATAGTGGTAAAAGCACTCAGCTGCTAACCAAAAAGGTCATGATTCCAATTCACCAGCTGCACTGCAGGAGGAAGATGTGGCAGTCTGCTCCCATAAAGATTGTGGCCTTGGAATCCATATGGGGCAATTCTACTACTCTGTCCTATGGGGTTGCTGTGAGTTGGTATTGATTTGACGGCAGCGAGTTAATAATGAGTTAGGCACCTGGGAAGCAACTGTGGTGAAAGAAGCAAACAGACAGGGCTTAAATTCCAATGTAGCTTATAATTTAGCAGAGAAGAAATCCATTAAATAAGAAATGATAAGTGTAATACAGAAAAAAGCTCTTATGGGAATATGTAAGGGAGATGGGATAGAGTGTGTCTGTGGACAGAACACTGGTGTAGAAATCAAAGACCTTTATTCTTGTCCAGCCTGGTCTTGTGCAAATAACTTTCTCCAGGCCTCAGTTACTTCATCCGTGACATGAGTAGGCATGACAAGTGAGATAATAAATCCCCATTTTAATCTTCTATTATTTTGAGAACTCTAGAGCAAGACTAACAAAATCACATATGGAACTAAATTTAAAGGACTAGAAGTGTTGAGAGCTGACATGTGTTTGTGCTACGGATAATATTGTTGCTTGAATTAAATGAATTATTATCGTATTTTCAGTAAAGATCTGGGTTGAGATGAACTCAGCTCAAGAGTTGAGTAAAGTCTTTAAAGAACATGCTATTGAAATTTGGAGAAATTCTATGTAACGTTGTCGTTGTTGTTAAGTGCCGTCGAGTCGGTTCCGACCCATAGCGACCCTGTACAGGGTTTCCGAGGGTGTAAATCTTTACGGGAGTAGAAAACCTCATCTTTCTCCCACGGAGGGGCTGGTAGTTTCAAACCGCTGAGCTTAGGGTTCGCAGCCCGATTCGTAACCACTATGCTACCAGAGCTAGTAGTTGCCTTTAATTTGTGTTCAGTGATTAAGGTTATCACTTTGGAAACTTTCTGCGCTATTCCCGCCCTCCCCAACCTCCTACCCCCCAGTTTTGGGCTTCAAAACATTGAACTTTAATGCTTTTGTAAGGGAATTCAATGCTTTTGGTTCAGACTAAATTCAACCTTACCTCCTCTCCCTCAAGTAAAATCCCATTGAAATAATTTTTTTTAATTGTGTTTTTTTAATGAAATCAATGTATAAAACAGGAAAGAATATATCAGAGGACTAAAGGTTTTGAAAACGGAATAGAACTTGGGATCAGAATGTAGAATGGATCATTCTAAACAATCAACCCTATCAGAGGAAACCACTCTGTATAGAAATGTGAGAAGGCTGCAGCAGGGATGGTCACCAGGTTTTCACAGTGGAACCCCGATGACTGGTTGATATGAAGAGCAAGAGTGAGAAGAGGAAGATAAATGGAGATGCTTGATTGACGAATGAGCTGCAGAAAGGCTGTTTGAATTGACCGATGACCGCCCTCTGCAGCAGAAAGTGGTGTTTGCCATAGACAGAGGGTCGCAGCAGTACTCTAAAGAAAGTAAATGATCTGCTTCCACAAAGCCAAGGCTCACATCAAGTATCAATGCTATCCCCTCTGTGCATAGGGTAAATAGGGACAGGCAACTTAGGCACTGGCTACCTAGAATATTGAAAGTGCCATGGGCTGCCAAAAGAACCAATAGATCTGTTTTGGAAGAAGTGCAGCCAGAGTGCTCCTTGGAGGCCAAGATGACCAAACTTCGTCTCTCATACTTTGGACATATTGCCAAGTCTCTGGAGAAGGATATCATGTTTGGAAAGGTAGAGGGTCAGAGAAAAAGAGGAAGACCCCCAACAAGATGGATTAGCCAAGTGGCAGCATTGATGGACTCAAGCGTGGCAACAGTAGTGAGGTTGGCCCATCATCGGGCAGTGTTTTGTTCTGCTGTGCATAAGGTCACTATAGGTCAGTACCGACTTGATGGCACCTAACAACAACAACAATCTAAAATGAGGGGGTGATAATGGCATGAAGTGACTGGCTTAGAAGGTTTCAAGAGGGAGTTTACTTTCAGAGTGTGTGGGGGATGAAAAAGTCCCCACTGAATAGTTTTCATCTTGTCTAGATGGATCTGGTGAAAAGAGATGGGGCTAAGATTCTTATGATTCAATAGTGAGTAACTGTTATCATGACTAATTGTGATTGTCACAACTATAAAGGTAGACATGCTGTAACATAAAAGGGGGGAGTAGTTAATCTTACAGTCCAGAAACAGAGGACCCTAGGACCATCAAGGGAGAAGAGCACAAGCGGAATGGTGGACCTTATCCAGAGAAGCAGCGACACCAGAGATGGAGGCAGAGATGAGGATTTGGAGAGAGGGATTAGCTGAGAACTCTAGACTCGTGGAAAGAGTGGGACTGAGAGCTGGCATCCACTTAAAATGTCACACCTTAATCATCTTAGTGTCACACAGTCTTTTAAACACATAGTTCACAATATGTGAGTTCACCACAATAGCAACAAGGCAAAGAAAAGAAAAGAAATCCTGTATAACTGGGTTCATGCAGTTCAAACTTGCATTGTTCATGGGTCAAACTATAAGTTATACATGGATTTTCAACTGTGTGGAAGGTCAGAGCTTAGGAGCATGCACGCACACACACACACCTGCATTGATAAAGGGTCAACTGTCTATGGATTCACTCTAAAAGAAGGTTTTTTGTCTTTTTTGTTTTAATGTCACATGAGACAGCAGTCTATACCTTGATAGAGAAGGTTGTGAATGGTTTGCCTGACAAGGGAAAAAGCCACAATCATTTTGTCTTAGCAAATCTTTAAAATCTGTCCACATTTGATAAATGGGAGATTTTCCTCATTATTAAAAAACTTATACCAATGTTTGTAAAACTGTTTTCTCCTGTAAATGTTCTGCTACTTACATATTTACTACACACAAAGATATTCTAAAAACAAAACAAAGCTATGTTCTCTTGTAGTATGATCCTAAGCAATATTAATCCCTGTTTGTGAAACTGTGAAGCAAACATTTGGGCTGACCCATGGTGATGGTGGTGGTGGTGATGCTGTGGAGCCGGTTCCGATTCATAGTGATCTTATATAGGGCTTCTGGGGCTGTAAATCTTTACAGGAGCAGAAACTTTCATCTTTCTTCTGCATAACACCTGGTAGTTTCAAACTACTGACCTTGAGGTTAGCAGCCCAACTCGTAACCACTATGCTACCAAAGCCTATTTGTTGTTGTGCCATGGAGTTGATTCTGACTCAAAGTGACCC